CAGCAAGGCTGGCTGGGGAATTCTGGGAGTTGAAGTCCACGCATCTGAAAGTTGCCAAGGTTGAGGAACACTGTCCTAGTGTAATAAAGGCAGAGCTGCTCTGACTGTTTCTCACCTTCCCCTGCACTACCATGGGCTGAAGAGTCTCGTTTGCTTCCCACCTATTTTCCCTGAGACATTCCAGCCCAGCTTATCTGTCCACCCCCCAACATTTTCTGTAGGTCCACTTATGTAAAGGAAAGCAAATCTACACAACAAGAAAGTCAGCTTACCAAACCTGAGTAATGATGGTTTAATTGACTATTCCATAAACACGAGGAGGGATGTTTGGGGAGAGGTCAACAAAAGTCAAGATGGCGGCTGCAGCCATATGATTGAAACTTCACACATGGTTAATATGGGTCCCACCTCACAGGGCAGCAGCCGCCATCTTGCCATCTCTGAACATGTTAGCAAGAGATAAAATATTGGGAGAAATAGATGAATGGAGGTTGAACCTGAGGAAAAATGTGGAGGTGCAGAGGAGGGCGAAATGCAAGGAAGTCACCCAACCAGGTCTGAATTCCAGTTGTCAGAGATAAGGACTGCCATGGAGCAGGACACCTCATGGTCAGGGGCCAACTGAGGAGATATGGGAAGACATTTGTGATGGATGCCGCTGGAAAAAAAATCGAAATGAACGTCGACAGGACCTCATTTGCAAAGCCTTCAACATTCATGCACCTTGGCATCAGAGGTTGGTGCCTCCTCTCTCCTCAACTCCTTGCCAACTTCGCCAATTTGCCATGGGGGACATAGGAGTAAATGTGGGCATACATGCATCTCATAAATTAGTGCATCTAATAAAAGCTTTGCAGGCTTTCTGCGTACTGCGTGTTTTCTCTTGAGTATTCCACTTATTACCTAGGATCCTAAAGCTTGTCTCTCTGGTGTGAAGACGTGAGTGTGTTCCTTAAAAACTCAGTTCCCCCTTCTCTCCCCCCACAACCAAGACACGACGTGCTGCTAAGCTGCAGCTGCCCCATCAAGCCCTAGGTGGGTTTGATGGGTTGCATGGAGCTTGAAAGAGAAGGCGAACGCATCATAAGCAGAAATTGCATCGTCCCAGGAAAGTCACAGACCTCCAGTGAAAGACTGCCCGAGGCCACGGGGTCCGAAATCTCCACTCACCTGTAGGTGGAAGTCTCAACTATAAAGCGAGGAATTTGTAGCACGTGAGTAAATCTAGAGATCGGACCATCTCTTTCTTAGTCCCCTCGCCTGAGTTTACACAACACCTCAGATTAGATTAAAACAGGGCTTGATTATTTGTGCCCCAGCATGTTGTGGGATGTGACCCTCACGTGAAGTCAGGGCATGGCTGGTGTGGGCGTTGGGTGTGATGTGCGGCTGGGCTTCTTAAGAGCTTGGCGAGTGCCCCTCCCCTTCCAGGTTGAGAGAAGACATGCTCTACCAGTTGGATGGGGAGGGCCTCCTCTACCCCTTGGGGCTCGATGATTTATTTCCTTCTTTTAATTCTTTCTCTTTTACATTCATGTGCTTGCGAGCTGCTTAGAGCCGTTTGGAATTGAGCAGCGGATAAACTGCAGAGCTCAACCCTAACCCTCATCACGCTATGAACCAGCACGGTGATTTCACGGCGCGGAGAACCAACATCATTTAGAACAACTAGTTTGGGAAGTGAAGGGGTAATAAAAGATGTGATTAAGGAGTGAAGATTTCCCTACAGATTGCATACTTATAAAAGGCAGTGCCTCGTGGCTTCCATGATTCACTTGCCGAGCTGTGAAAAACTACCTATGGGTGGCAAATGCAACACAACAGTAAAAGCTTGTGGATTTACCTTATTCATAAGCTGTGGTGTGTGTGTGTGTGTGTGTGTGTGTGTGTGTGTGTTCTTGCAGCAAGACACACGCCTGTCTGCTGCCCCCTTCAGATCAAGAAGCTAACAGCTCTTTCTTCAGGGTCCTGGGTGCAGATGAGGGCGTGGTTTGGATCCTGGTGGTGAAGTTCCAGACAGGTGGACAAGGGAGACAAGAGAGAAGAAGGAAGACCTTCTTTTTT